AAAAAAAAAGAGAAATAATTATGTCTGAACTATCACAAAGCAGCAATTTGAGCAATAATATGATGTGAATAATAGGGGGGGGGTGTATGATCATCAAGATTTGTGAGTTTTAACAGAAATTTAAAGAAATGAATATCCATGTGTTCAAATCCCAAATTGACGAAAAAATAAAGTGTTACTACTCGTCACGCTTGTCTCCCAGATTACTAACCTCTCGTGCTTATTGTCATTTCCCATCTGCATACTCAACTGGTCCAACTCTTTAGCTTTCATTCATCAACCTTCAGGAAAACTGCCATACACTGTCACTTTTTTATTAGCCAACTGCACATTCCATTAAGGGCAGGGCCCTCCTGCTCGCGCAGGGAATTATTAGCCCTTCTTTAATAAAGTGATAGGATGATGATGAACGGGGAAGGGACGATCAAAAATTTATACATCCCCGGAATTTCGAATCGCGAACCTTCGATTTGAGATCGCGACGTCACTTCTGATCTCAGCTACCCGGCCTGGCTTACAGTTATTAGGGGACGCTAACTAGGGACAGGCGTCATTCAAGAACGTATTCCCTTCCAAAAGAGAAAACAGAAACTGCAAGTAAATACGATCATTTAAAATATTAGGAACAACTCGGGGCCCTTTTATCACATTTGCGCAAGTTATTAATACTCTACATAGTAATGTGGTGTATTCAATCTAGGTCTCTCAGCCCAGAAAGCCATACAAAATCTAGTTAGAGAGATGTATTGAGCAATATCATAGGCTGGCCACATAGGTAGTTTTCCGTGATTTCTCCGATCAATACCAGAAGAATACCTAGAAAACGGTCGTATCCCTACATAAACATTTACATTTATACACATTTCTCCTCCAGGAACGTCGGGGGATCAGTCTACGGCTTAGAACCTGTCCCGGCTGGGGCGGTGCTTCCTATAGGAGATAGCTGGAGGGGGCAAACCCCGCAAGCCGAAGTATAAGTGGAGTAAGTCAGGCGACATTCCAGCGGGGAAGAATATCGGTACCTGCTGGAATATGGCATGCACTACACTTAAGGGAATAAATATCTCCGTGGTTGACGCGACCGTAATCAACACCAAGGCATTCTTTATGAAGATCAATCGCGTGTTTTGTTATCTGCTGGCACAGCTGTTGTCGTGAATGGAAAGGCGCCCGCGTGCGGAAAGCCACTCACCTTGGTCCTCGGAGTCGTCCTGCTGTCCGCTTTTGGCGTCGGGCAGCGCGACGAGCGGCGCCAGGTCGCCCGCGGCGAGCGCCGCCGCCGCCGCCGCCGCCGCAGCCGC